AGATAAGTCAGGGCGGAAGGAGCAGAAGAGATATAAAGTAGAAAATAGCGCAGGCTCGAGTCGCTTTCAATAAAAAGAAGTCACTTCTATGCTCGCGAACGGTTAATTTAGAAATTCGAAAAAGGTTGTTAAAGGTGTATGTTTGGAAAGCGGCGCTGTATGGGTGCGAAATATGGACGGTGGGCACGGCGGAAAAGAAAAGGCTAGAAGCGTTTGAACTGTGGTGTTATAGACGAATGACGAGGATACCGTCGATAAAGAAGGTTAGAAATAAAGCAGTATTAGAAAGAATAAGAGAATAGAGGACTGTATGGAAGTCAAAAAGAAATAGGCGAGATAGGTTAGTAGGACACCTTCTCAGGCATGAAGGTGTAGTCAGAAACATATTAGGGGAAGTAACGGGAGTTGGGAGGGGTAGAGGCAGACCTAGATTATATTATTGTTCGCAAATAGTTCAGCATGTGGGTTGTTCTAGTTTTAGGGAAATGCGAAGATTAGCTAAGGATAGGAAAGAGTGGAGGTACGTGTCCAACCAGTCTTAGGACTGATGACCTTATGATGAGTCGTGCTTTAAATACCATTCATTGTCAGACAAATGTGGTGTTACAGGCGAATGATGAGGATACCGTGGATAGAGACGGTTAGAAATAAAGAGGTATTAGAAAGAATAAGAAAACAGAGGACTCTACGGAAGTCAATAAAAAATAGGCGAGATAGGTTGGTCGGTTACCGTATCAGGCATGAAGGTCTAGTCACAGACATATTAGAGGCAGAAGAGGAAGTTAGGAGGGGTAGAGGTATAGTTAAGGATATTGGTTGTTCTAGTTTTAGGGAAATGCGAAGATTATCTCAGGATAGGAATGAGTGGAGGTGCGTGTCCAACCAGTCTTAGACTGACGACCTTATGATGATGGGTACCAAGTGGAGATACAGGTATTACCATACATCCGAACCACCACCATCCAAAGATTGCGGCATTAGAACAATCCTACAAATCTTCACACATTAATGCCGTTCCCCTGCCGTTCCGCGGTATGAATACGGCACTATATGTGTAAATTGATCTTTAACATCACAACCAATTACTAAAAGCGTATGGTGGGGCTTCTGGTTTTATCTTCTGAAGAGCAAAAACTGAAAAGAAATTGTGTCTGATGTGTGAAGATTAATTACGGAGTTATTTTTGAAAAAAAGGTGAATGCATTTGCTATAACATGAGCATTGCAAATGCTCTCGTCGCAATTTCGTTATTTTACTTTTTTATCGTTCCACAAAAAAGAAAAAAATGTCTGGATTATTAGGATTTGTAAAAATAGTGGATGCTTTTTTTACTGTGATTCTTAATTTGTTGAGTTCTCTTGTAGGAGCTAAAACAGAAAAGAATAAAAAAAACGGAAATGCGGCTTTGACATCAAACGTAAGAAACGCATTATGGTTGCATTTGTTTCAGGCACATACATACATAAAATTGCTCAAAGAACCGCGGCCCTTAAATGTGGCAAGAGACCTATTTTTATATTTCGAAACAAAAACAGAATCTATAGCCATTCAAGTATTTAATAGATACTTAAACAACAAAACATGGATACGAAAACTACCTACGTATATATTGTAGCTAAGTATATAAATAAAATTGAGATATATGTAATAAGGTTACTCGTATGCTTCTAAGACTCAAATGAGCCTAAAAGTTTTGTTGCCTCTTTGTATGCTCTAATTTTTGAAACTATTGAATCGATTTCGATGGGATTTTACAGGCATGTAGAGGCGTGATATAGTACAATTTTTTAAAATGTTTATTAATTAAAATAGTTGCATTTATTATTAGTTTCCCCGCGGTAAAAGTTGCCATAAGAAAAAGGTCACAGGTCAAAATTAACTTTGTAACAGAGAGCTAAACAATGTACTGCTCTTATATTTCTTTATTTCCCTGTTTTTAAATTGAACAGTTAACGTTTCGCCTAAGTCTTGAATCTAACTTTTAAAATTCCTATAAAATTAGAAATTCCTGCTTCCGATTTGAAAATGCATCGTATAGTATCCTAATTGCGTGGTTTTTGTTCAAAAGGGATTAATACATTTTAGTTCTTATTGTAACAGGATACCCTAGTGGTAAATTGAGAATCGAATAAGGATTTTTCGTTACATGCAATCATCAAAGAAAGCATAGTTTGAAAAATACGAAAATTCGTATAAATGCCTTCATATAAGTCCAATATTAGGAAAAAAGACTTAAAAATTAATCAGGAACCGTTAAATGAGTGGGAAAGAGAAGGTTGGGAAAAATTGTTTTAAAAAGAGATTAGAGGAAATAGTAAGACTTGAAAAAAATAACAGAGTTGAAACACGTGATAAGGTTAAGAAATATGCTACGGGATTATCGGCAGGCTGATCTAGTGCCAAGATATTTAGGAGGAGGAAGAGAAATAAATATTTTAGCTAGATTTAGAGTAGGAAATGAATGAGAATGAAACAAGTAATGGACAAAAGACGAAGATAGAAAATGTAAAAGATGAATATCTAATGCATGTGTTAGGTGAGTGTGAGGAATAAAGATCACTAGAAAAATGTGCTGTATTGGTGAGAGATGATGATAGTGGTCTGACCCTATTGAGGAAATTTTGAAAAATAGGAAGTGGAACATACGAGAAAATGCTTTTGTTTAGTTTTCTTTTCTAGACGTGTGTTTTGTTGTTTAAAGCAGGGTTTCCCAACCTTTTTGTCCTCGCGAACCAAAAGAAAAGTCCGAAAAAATTTGACGAACCCCCTATGTAGTCGTTAATGACAGGTATAAAAAAGCAATAAAATTTGATAGAATATATACTTTTTCATATTGCATAATAATTGAATCGTGAAATATTTAAATAANGGTAGGATGGATCTATGAAAATTTTTTTTGAGCGCAGTTTAATACATATATGTACGCAGAACATTATTTTATATTTAAAAGTCTATTATTAATTCGAAATGATTCAAAGCGGCGTCTATATGGCAATCTTCAACCAGCCATTCTTTGAGCTCAATATAGAACTGATCATTTATCTAGAAACCGACCTGTCATCTGTCAGGCAGAGTTAAATTAACTGCTTATGAGATACACACGTACATATCGCATACATAGATATAGATTTAATTTATTTCGAGACGATGCCGGAATGTCATCATCAAATAAAACACACTTTTACTATTAAATAGAAAAAGAAAAGAAAAATGTAAATTGAATGATCAGAACTGTCTTAAAAAGATCGAGGTCTATTTTTAATATTCTATGTAAATACTGCTATATGTTTATGAGTAGAGGGACGGGGGATAAAATTACTATTCTGGATTTAAAAAAAAAATACAACGTATAATTATACAACACGCTACTGAAGTGAAACTTCTTCAAACACACAAACATACCGGGATAGGGGTTAAGGAATTGGATTAATGGTATTATTTGTACACTGTGCATCGCACGGGTGCAATGCTGATAGTAAATATACTATAGAATGTCTTTATATACAACAATCACAGCTTTTTTATCATTAGACAATACAAACCGGCCGGTACCACCGCACCGCTATGTCCCTGCATTTTAAGTCTGTAATATCTTCGAAAATATTCATTTAAATTACATGCTGTAAAGGGCCATATTGATCTATATTGAATGCACAATGTTTTTGAAAGTACTTAATTGGATAAGGATTAATGCTGTATTTCTTAAAATCGCTTCGTAAATAAGCCATTATTTCTCGTAAAAAGTAAAGGATAAAAAATGGTTATTGTGTGTTATACCTAAAAGATAGATATATATACCATCGCGGACCTTTTTGTAGACCTTTTTAAGGTGTACAATACTGTAGTATATTATTTTGATTTATTTCGTAGGGTTCAGCCAACGTTTGCAATGTAAGTGCAAAAAATGTGTTTATTTACGACATCACATTACAAACCTCTAAAATTATCATCGTTTGTCTACTATATTATGCATGTATTATACATATAAACCTTCCTCTTGAATTACTCTATCTATTAAAAAAAACCGCATCAAAATCCGTTGCGTAGTTTTAAAAATCTAAGCATACATAGGGACAGACAGCGGGGGAAATCCGTAGCATCATTTCGTTACATAGCAACTCGCATGAAACGAACTTACCCTACCGTGGGCAAAGAAGTTTCACTTCAACACCATTTTTTTTTAATTCAAACTTTTTAAAAATATGTATTTAATTATGTACCCACTTCATCAATTTTGATACCTACTGTTGCATGTTTGGGGAGGGATGGGTGTAAAACATATATTAGGGATCTTAACGATCCACAAAATTAAAGTTAATTTTTCTACAAAATTTGATATTAAGATCAATTTGTTGCAAAAATCGAATTCAGAACTTTCAAATCAATAATCAGTTAGTTTTTATACTCATTTCTTTAGACAAATATACAAGAGCGGGCTGAAAAATTCATAGGCTGACCCATATATGACTCTACTAGTATCAAATCCATATAATTTTTGTTAGCCCTAACCTTCAAAAGACAGGTGTATAAATTTGACAGCTGTTCCACTATTAGTATCTGAGTTATAGCATTTTTAGTGAAAGAACTTTTGTTGTTTAAAAAAGAAAGTGCTGTTTCATCAAGACAATGCACCGTGTCACAAATCAATGAAATCGATGGAAAAATTCCATGAATTGGGCTTCGAATTGCTTCCGCATCCACCGTACTCTCCAGATCTGGCCCCCAGCGACTTTTTTCTATTTTCAGACCTCAAGACAGAAATTTCGCGCCGATGAAGAGGTAAACGCGAAACTGAAGCCTATTTTGAGACAAATCGTATTATAAAAATGGTATCGAAAAATTGTATGACCGCTATAATCGTTGTATCGCCCTCGAAGGGAACTATATTGAATAATAAAATCAAATCTATCAAAAAAATATTTTTTTCTAAGCTAGCCTACCAACTTTTCAGCCCGCCTGTTACGTTGAAAAATATATAATTAAAACTTAATGAAACATACTGTGTCCTTAACGTAAAAGCAGCTGACGTAATAGAGGATGGTAAGTGTAGTCCTTTGATTATTTCCTGCCACAATTTCTTGTTTATCACATCTACCAGTCCCCCTCTAGCTATAACCAAATTGTACAATTCGTACAAATCCAATACTGATTTGGCCATTATTGGTAACCGATTTATTGGAGTCCCTGAAACAATGAAGAAAAATCATTTACATTTTTGTAGATGTTGATGGCGTTGTAAACAATAGAAAAAACTAATTTAAATAGTACAATTATGTATATGTAACATGATTAAAAATGAGACAAAAGGCAAAGTATCAGCTTTTGAAAGAGTGGTTTAGGAAGGCTCCAAAAAGACTGGAGATAGGAACAGAAACTACAAAGATTTGCTTTAAGGATGTTTGGGAGGTACAATCGGAGACAAGAGTACATAAAGTTATAAATTCGTGATTAATTAGGTTTTGCAGCATATCATGAGGTAAATAAATACTATCTATACTAAAAAAAAGTATACGGTTTGAGAGAAAATTTGGAATTTGACCAAAAACTTTGAATAAAATAAGAAATAACGAATAATATGGAAAATTTTTAACTGACTTTTGGCAGTGAATATGCCTTGATTTCAACTTCGAAACAAAAAAATATTTAGTTTCAATCTCTATTAATAATGAGCGTAAAACTTTTTAATATGTTTAAATAATAATTAAAACTTTAAAATTGCATTTATTTCAGACAATTATAAATATTATCATTATATTATCAAGTAAAAACGAGATTTTCAGCTAATTTTTCATTTTTTCCTCGATAACCATTTAGTGAATTTGAATAACCTTACGCTAAAGTGATTCTCCAGAGTTCAAGTTACTTATTATAAAAGTTTGAAATTTCTGGTAGCTTTTTTTCTGTTAATAAAAATAAATTTAATCTGTTCGGTTAACGAATCTCCATAAAATGACGTGTAAAATTACAATTTTTTAAAATTTCAATAACTTTCTAACGGTTTAGTGAATCGATTTGTAATTTTCACAGGAGTTTTAGAATTGAATGAGGAACGTTCTTGCAAATTTTTATTTGTCTCGTAGCATTCTGACATACCTCCCAAACATCCTTAAGTACATTTTGATTTGCTTCGGGTAGAAGTTTTTCTCCTATTTCTAGTCTTCTTGGCATGCCCCATTATTCTTAGTGCAAGCAAATTTGTATTCGAGGTTATTAAAAGAAATTCTGTTCGTATTTTCTATTTTAAAAAATTAAACGGGGTCGCTACCAAACCAGTTGTACTGGTCATGAACGTGCAGAGATGAAAGAAATCGTTTTTCGAATTAGCCAAGGATTTATTAACGAGGACGGACGGGAAATGTGATAAGGACGCAATTGTCAGTTTACAATCCTGTTCAAATTTTATTTATTGACTCGTTTATAACACGAGATTTCGGACGTCAAACAAAAGATTACTAATCATTACACCTGTTAAACGGATAGGAGTGTTTTTACAGGTGACAAAACGATTTATTTATTGTACCACATTGTATGCGAGTTGCCAAGTATATATATTTAAAATAGTTCAGCAGTAAAAAAATAACAGTAATTAATTCACATTTAACAGAATACAGTCAAACTTCCCTAACTTCCCTCTCTTAACATGCAAGCAGTTATGGTCGAGTTAGAAAGAGTAATAGAAGAAAAAATAAAATAATCCGAAGTGGTTTGTATTCTGTCGCAACTGCCAGACGCGGATCGCGATTTCGATATTTTTGGATCTCATCAGCGCGTCGCAGGCAGCTCCGACAGAACACAGACCAACTTTTACCTGCTGTCTTAACAGTGCGTTT